TCGGGTCCCTCCCTCCTTCTCTTTTAGGGGTCTCTTTTATCTCTTGAGGTTATCATGAAAGTTGAAATAAGTAGCTGTTGAACTCATGAATAAATTAAGGAAAGTGTAAAAATTGGAAAATATAAGATGTTAGAGTGGGGCCGGGCGCAGTGGCTCACGCCTGTAATCCCAGCACTTTGGGAGGCTGAGGCAGGCAGATCACAAGGTCAGGAGATCGAGACCATCCTGGCTAACATGATGAAACCCCGTCTCAATAAAAATACAAAAAATTAGCCGGTGTGGTGGCAGGCGCCTGTAGTCCCAGCTACTTAGGAGGCTGAGGCAGGAGAATGGTGTGAACCCAGGAGGTGGAGCTTACAGTGAGCTGAGTTTGCGTCACTGCACTCCAGCCTGGGCAACAGAGCGAGACTCTGTCTCCAAAAAAAACAAAAAAGATGTTAGAGTGATTCAGGGAGCCTCTTGGGCTAGATGGTGATGGGGTTAGTGGCAAAGTGCCAGGACTCTGAAATTCAGTGGCCTGAAAGCTAGTTCTGAATCCCAGCTCTGCTATTTAAATAACTATGACTTGGGGCGAGACCCCTAACTTCTCTAAATTTTGGTTTCTACCTTTTATTTGTTTTGTTTTTTTGTTTTTGAGATGGAGTCTTGCTCTGTCCCCCAGGCTAGAGTGCAGCAGCGTGATCTCGGCTCACTGCAACCTCCACCTCCAGGGTTCAAGCGATTCTCCTGCCTCAGCCTCCCGAGTAGCTGGGACTACAGGTGCCCGCCACCACACCCAGCTAATTTTTCATATTTTTAGTAGAGACAGGGTTTCACCATGTTGGCCAGGATGGTCTCGATCTCTTGACCTCATGATCCGACCACCTCAGCCTCCCAAAGTGCTGGGATTACAGGCGTGAGCCACCGTGCCTGGTGGCCTTTTTTCTTTTTGAGACGGAGTTTTGCTCCTGTTGCCCAGGCTGCAGTGCAGTGGTGTGGTCTCAACTCACTGCAACCTCCGCTCCCTGGGTTCAAGCGATTCTCCTGCCTCAGCCTCCCGAGTAGCTAGGATTACAGGTGCCTGCCACCATGCCCAACTATTTTTGTAGTTTTAGTAGAGAAAGGGTTTCATCATATTGGCCTGGCTGGTCTCGAACTCCAGACCTCAAGTGATCCGCCTACCTTGGCTTCCCAAATTGCTGGGATTACAGGTGCGAGCCACCACACCAAGCCTTGGTATGTTACCTCCTTAAAGAGACCTCTGGTGACCATCTATTAGTCCCATCCCAGTACTCTTGTTCTCCTCATGCCAATTACTAAAAGTTGTAATGATGCAGTTATACATTCATTTGTTTACTTGTTTATTCCCTGGCTCCATTCCCATTACATTGCTAACTCTATAAGGGCAAGGACCATATCTATTTTGCTCACTAATGAATATCCAGTAACTTAGTACAGTGATGGCACAAAGAGGGCACTAGACATAGATTTGCCAGCTACATGAAAGAATAAAGTACTTTCTTTCTTTTTTTTTTTTTTTTTTTGAGACGGGTGGTCTCGATCTTCTGACCTTGTGATCCACCCGTCTCAGCCTCCCAAAGAGCTGGGATTACAGGCTTGAGCCACCGCGCCCGGCCATAAAGTACTTTCTTATTTTGAGACAGCGTCTGACAGCCTCAGGTCTGTTGCCCAGGCTGGAGTGCAGTGGCACGCTACTAGCTCACTGCAACCTCCACATCCTGGGCTCAAGCCATCCTCTGATCTCAGCCTCCCAAATAGCTGGGACTACTGGGATGCACCACCATACTCAGTTAATTTTCATATTTTTTGTAGAGACGGGGTTTCACCATGTTGCCCAGGCTGGTCTCAAACTACTGGGCTCAAGCGACTCACCTGTCTTGGCTTCCCAAAGTGCTGGCCACTGTGCCCAGTCAAATAAAGTATTTTCTACTGTGCCTGACACTGCTGAGTACTCAGTCAAAGAATGAGTGAAATGGGGCTTGAATTATGAGAATCTGTGGGCCAGGCAGTGGTTCATGCCTGTAATCCCAACGCTTTGGGAGGTTATGGTGGGCGGGTCACTTGAGGTCAGAAGTTAGAGACCAGCCGGGCCAACATGGTGAAAACCTGTCTCTACTAAAACTTACAAAAATTGGCCAGGCGTGGTGGCACGTGCCTGTAGTCCCAGCTACTCGGGAGGCTGAGGCAGGGAAATTGCTTGAACCCAGGAGGCGGAGGCTGCAGTGAGCTGAGATCACACCACTGCACTCCAGCCTGGTGACAAAGCAAGATTCTGTCTCAAAAAACAAAAAAGCATATAAAAATTAGCCAGGTGTGGTGGTGCCTGCCTGTAATCCCAGCTACTTGGGAGGCTGAGGTGGGAGAATCGCTTGAAACCAGGAGGTGGGGGTTGCAGTGCGCCGAGATTGCACTACGGCACTTCAGCCTGGGAGACACAGCGAGACTCCATCTCAAAAAAAAAAAAAAAGAAAATTTGTGGGTTTTCATGTCAGACAAAATCCAGAGGAAATAAATAATAACTTGTGATATTTTAATAAACTTCCAGGCAAGGTCTTTGAGACTGAATCTTTCAGAAGCCTCTTCTGAGAGCACTGTGTGCCCTCCCAAGGCTGCATGGCCATCTGCCAAACTAAGAAACAGTCACCTTTAGCACCCCATGTCTTCCTTGACCAGGCACACACAATCCTGACACTAAACCCCAGCCACATACCCCCTCCCAGCTCAATGTGGGCAGTGCCCTGCTCCTTAATAAGTGTCCCCCAGCCTCCAAGTGTGGCAGACAGACCCCACCCTGTGCCACTGCTCTCCAACCTGAGGGAGGGACAGAAAGGTGTGACAGCCAGTGAATCTGAGCAATAATAATTGATTACTGGCAGATGTGTGTCCAGTTCCAGAAGAATCCTGCCAAATCTCACTTGGCCATTTTTTTTTTTCTCCCCATACATATTCTGATCTTTTTTTTTTTTTTTTTTTGAGACAGCGTCTCACTCTGGCACCCAGGCTGAAGAACAGTGGTATGATCATAGCTCACCGTAGTCTCGACCTCCTGGGCTCAAGCAATCCTTCAGCATCAGCCTCTAAAACAGCTAGGAACATACGTGCATGCCACTATGCGTGGCTAATTTTTTATTTTTCTGTAGAGACCAGGTTTTGCCATGTTACCCAGGCTGGTCTCAAACTCCTGGGCTCAGGTAATCCTCCTACCTCAGCCTCCCAAAGTGTTGGGATTACAGGCGTGAGCCACTGCGCCTGGCCTATTTTCTTCTTTTTCTTTTTTTTTTTTTGAGACGGAGTCTTGCTCTGTCACCCAGGCTGGAGTGCAGTGGCCGGATCTCAGCTCACTGCAAGCTCCGCCTCTCGGGTTCACGCCATTCTCCTGCCTCAGCCTCCCTAGTAGCTGGGACTACAGGCGCCCGCCACCTCGCCTGGCTAGTTTTTTGTATTTTTAGTAGAGATGGGGTTTCATCGTGTTAGCCAGAATGGTCTCGATCCCTGACCTCGTGATCCGCCCGTCTTGGCCTCCCAAAGTGCTGGGATTACAGGCTTGAGCCACCGCGCCCGGCCTTTTTCTTTTTTTTTTTTTTTTGAGATGGAGTTTTGCTCTTGTTGCCTAGGCTGGAGTGCAGTGACACGATCTCGGTTCACTGTAACCTCCGCCTCCCTCCCGGTTTCAAGCAATTCTCCTGCCTCAGCCTCCCAAGTAGCTGGGATTACAGATGCCTGCCATCGCGCCAGCTAATTTTTGTACTTTTAGTAGAGACAGGGTTTCATCATGTTGGTCAGGCTGGTCTCAAACTCCTGACCTCGTGATTCACCTGCCTCAGCCTCCCAAAGTGCTGGGATTAGAGGTGTGAGCCACCATGCCCGGCGTGACTTGACCATTTTCTACCGCCCACCTCCAGGAACCTCATTTCCTGTCTCTTAATATAAATGATGCCCTCTTCTCCCCAGAAGTATCTCAGTCATAGGTGGAGACTGGAATCCCATCCCTGAGCCCTTGCTAGAATCCACTGCGAAGGTTACAAAAGATCTGAACACCTGCCGTATCTGGTCCGCAGCCCCTAGGCTATTCTGACAGTTACCCAGCCAAAGATCTGCAAGTTAATTCTTTAAAACCTCCCAATTTAAAGGCAGGGACTGGTTTTTTTTTTTTTTTTTTTTTGTGACAGAGTCTCTGCCGCCCAGGCTGGAGGGCAGTGGCGCGATCTCGGCTCACTGAAACCTCTGCCTCCCAGGTTTAAGTAATTCTCCTGCCCCAGCCCCCTGAGTAGCTGGGATTACAAGCACGCACTGCTATGCCTGGCTAATTTTTTGTATTTCTAGTACAGATGGGGTTTCGCCACGTTGGCCAGACTGGTCTCAAACTCCTGGTCTCAAGTGGTCTGCCCGCCTTAGCCCCCCAAAGTGCTGGGATTACTGAGCCTCCACACCTGGCCTGGGACTGGCTCTTGTTCAGGTCTGTCTCTACAATGATGACCACATGGTCTGCTGCATAGGAGGTGCTCAGTGTATATTTGTTCAAGAAAGATTAACAAGCATTTGGTTTTTTTTGTTTGTTTGTTTTTGAGATGGAGTCTCGCTTTGTTGTCCAGGCTAGAGTATAGTGGCATGATCTCAGCTCACTGCAACCTCCACCTCCCGGGTTCCAGTTCAAGTAATTCTCCTGCCTTAGCCTCCCGAGTAGCTGGGATTACATGCACACACCACCATGCCCAGCTAAGTTTTGTATTTTTAATAGAGACGGGATTTCACCATGTTGGCCAGGCTGGTCTGGAACTCCTGACCTTGTGCTCACCGCCCACCTTGGCCTCCCAAAGTGCTGGGATTACAGGCCTGAACCACTGGGCCCGGCTGTGCAGACTCTTTTTATTCCTCTGCCTGCTAGAGAGGCAGCTTAGCACACGGGTACAGAACACAGGCCTGAACAAGGCTGAGTGTTCCCCATGGACCAACTCCTGTTCAATGGCCCCAAGAGAGGGGTTCAGAAAGCCAGTACTCACAGGGTTCCTCCTGTCCAGGCAAAGTGACTTGATGTTTCTTAATACCGTCAAACAGGAGCTCCGCACCACCTCTGCAAAGGAGGACCAGAGAAAAAGACAGCTAGGTGAGCTCCCGCAAATAGGAAGAGGTAGCGGAGATGGAAAACTGAGGATAGGGCTGGTAACGAAGCCCGAGAGCAGCAGAGACTAAGGTGCAGAAACACCTTGGGTGCAGTGACCAATTCTTTTTTTTCCCCTTTCTTTCTTAGAGACAGGGTCTCACTCTGTCACCTATGCTGGAACGCAGTAGTGCAATCATAGCTCACTATAACTTTGAATTCCTGGGTTCAAGAGACCTTCCTGTTCAACCTCCCAAATAGCTAGGACTACAGGTGCATGCCACCATGCCACCATATCAGGCTACTTTTTATATTTATATTTATATTTATATTTACATTTATATTTATATTTCACTTTGTTTAGTCTCACTCTGTTGTCCAGGCTGGAGTGCAGTGGTGTGATCTCAGTTCATAGCAACCTCCGCCTCCCAGGTTCAAGCGATTCTTGTGCCTCAGCCTCCTGAGTAGGTGGAACTACAGACATGAGCCACTATGCCCGGCTAAATTTTGTATTTTTAGAGAGAGGGTTTCACCATGTTGGCCAGGCTGGTCTCAAACTCTTGACCTCAGGTGATTCGCCCACCTTGGCCTCTCAAAGTGCTGGGATTACAGGCATGAGCCACTGAGCCCGGCCCATATCAGGTTAATTTTTAAATTTTTTGTAGAGATGGAGTCTCGCTGTGTTACCCAGGCTGATCTCAAACTCCTGGCCTAAAGCAATCCTCCCACTTCAGCCTCCCAAAGCACTGGGATTACAGGCACAAGCCACTCTGCCCAGACCCAGTGACTAATTCTTAAATGACTTCTAATGTGGTAGAGTAGGATATAATTTTTACTAATAATCAAGTACCGGCTAGGTGTGGCGGCTCACACCTGTAACCCTAGCACTGTGGGAGGCTGAGGCGAGATGACTGCTTGAGGCCCGGAGTTTGAGATGAGCCTCAGTGAAACAAAGCCTCGGTGACATAGCAAGACCTTGTCTCTACGTTATTATTATTATTATTATTAGGTGCCCGGCAAATTATCTATTTATTTATTTTTGAGACAAGGTCTTGCTTTGTCACCCAGCATGGAGTGTAGTGGCACAATCACAGCTCACTGCAGCCTTGACCTCCTAGGCTTAAAAGCAATCCTCCCACATCAGACCCCCAAGCAGCTGGGACTATAGGTGCATGGCATCACACTCAGCTAATTTTGTACTTTTTGTAGAGATGGGATTTTGCCATGTTGCTCAGGCTGGTCTTGAACTCCTGAGTTCTCCCTGCCTTGGCCTCCCAAAGTGCTGAAATCACAAGCATGAACCACTGTGCCTGGCCTATTTTCATTTTATTATTTTATTTTATTTTATTTATTTATTGAGACGGAGTCTCACTCTGTCGCCCAGGCTGGAGTGCAGTGCTGCAATCTTGGCTCACTGCAACCTCTGTCTCCTGGGTTTAGGCAATCTTCTGCTTCAGCTTCCAGAGTAGCTGGGATTACATGCATGTGCCAGCACGCCTGGTTAATTTTTGTATTTTTTTTTCAGTGGAGACGGGGTTTTGCCATTGTGGCCAGGCTGGTCTTGAACTCCTGACCTCGTGATCCACCTGCCTCAGCCTCCCAAAGTGTTGGGATTACAGGTGTGAGCTACCGCGCCTGGACTATTTATTTTTTGAGACTAGGTCTCACTGTCAACCCAGGTTGGTGTGCAGTAGCGTGATCTCAGCTCACTGCAACCTCAACCTCCTGGGTTCAAGCGAACCTCCCACATCAGTCCCCAAGTAGCCGGGACCACAGGCACGTGTCACCACACCTGCCTAATTTTATTTTTATTTTTTGTAGAGACAGGGTCTCCCTATGTTGTCCAGGCTGGTCTTGAACTCCTGGGCTCAAGCAATCCTCCCAAAGTGCTGGGATTAGAGTTGTGACTCATCATGCCTGGCTCTGTCTCTAATTATTAAAAAAATAAAATAAAGTACCCAAATTTGCAGACTCTTGTTTTTTTGTTTTTACTCCTCTGCCTTCTAGAGAGGCAGCTTACCACACAGGTGCAGCACACAGCCTTTGGAGCTGCTGGCCCCAGTGTGAAGCCCAGGCTCCACCTCTCCCTATGTTGAGACCTTAGATGTGTGACTCAATCTTTTTTCCCTGTTATTAAAATAATTTGGGGGCCAGACACAGTGGCTCACATCTATAACCCTAGCACTTTGGGAGGCTGAGAGGGGAGGGGGGATTGCTTAAGTCCAGGAGTTCAAGAGCAGCCTGGGCAACATGGCAACACCTTGTGTCTACAAAAAATACAAAAAATAGCTGGGCATAGTGGTGCATGCCTGTAGCCCCAGCTACTTGGGAGACCGAGGTGGGAGGATCACTTGAGCCTGGGAGGTTGAGGCGCAGTTAGCCAAGGTCACGCCACTGTACTCCAGCCTGGGCGACAGAGTGAGACTCTGTCTCAAAACTAGTAATAATTAAAAAATATTTTATAACAGAGATGAGGTCTCACTATGTTGCCCAGGCTGGTCTTGAACTCCTGGGCTCAAGCAATCCTTCTGCCTCAGCCTCCCAAAGTGCTGGGATTATAGGCGTGAGCCACCATGCCTGGCCTTGACTCAATCTTAAGCTTCAGTCTTTCCATATGGAAAAATGTTGAGGAGCCACTGTGAGGCACTCTGGAGATCCTGTGCATCTAAGGGTTTCCTCTGGCCAGATGACGGTTTGAAATGCTCCTGCCCATGCCACCTGCTGCTGACCAGGTGGGCACATCACAGTGCTGGAGGCTGAGAGAGTCCACAGGGCCTGGCATCAACTAACAACAACTGTTCACATCGCCTCACCATTTATAAGATGTTCCTCATCTCATTTCATCCTCAGGGAGTCCCAGGGAAGAAGGGAGGAGGTAGATATTATTAACTCACTTTGATAGAAAAGTATACTCAAGTCTAGAGAAGTTAAGCAACTAAATGGTCCAAGGTTAGACAGGCAGGGGCTGAACTATTATAATTTGAGTCTAACTGATTCCTGCTTAGCACCAGCAGACTGGTCAGAAAAAAAAACAGGACTTCTCAAAGGTCAGAAAGCCTCTTGAGGGCAGAGTTTGGTTCATTTCTGTGTCCCAGCACCTGGCCAAGGGAAGGCGGGGACTGCAGAGGTGACTGGAGCCAAGTCCAGCAGCTGAGGCTTTTGAGATGAGCGCCAGGGCTCTTTCAGCGCCCCATGCTGCTTCTCCCTCTGGGTCTCCCTATTCCCATCTCAGACTTCTTGTGGATCTTAACTGAAAAGGCCTTACCAGACTTTTGAAGGATGCGAGGTCTTCCACCCCACCACCCTTCCCAATTTCAGGGAACAGAGATGTCCTGAGACAGCCTACTGGGAAGCAAAGGCAAGGCAAGCATTGTCATGGGGAAAACATGGGGCGACTGTCATCCAAACAAGGTCACGCTTTGTTGATGCAGAAATGTGGAGGGGGAGAGGAGGCCCATCTGTGGCCGCGCACAGGGCCATTTCAGCTGCAAGCCCGCACAGAGCCTCCATTTATCCCCTTCCAAGAGCCTCGTTTTCTCCTGGGTGGGGGTTGGCACATGCAGCAGCTGGGGTGGGGGAGGGTGACAGGCAAGGGGCTCAGGAGTTGGGGGTCAGAGAAGAGGGATGGGAACTGAAGGCACTGGGACTCAGGCAAACAACCAAGACTGGCCAAACCTGGTGGTGCCAGGCTCAGAGGCCGAGGCTGTTTTTCCGTTTACAAGCGGATGAAGGGAGAACCAGTCTCGCTCAGAGAGTGACCTGTCACTGCTGAATTCACTGGCCCTCAAGGGAGGGGTTGGCATTTCTGCTGTCAGCACATCTGGAGTGGGGGAAGGTGCATGCCCAGCCTCAAGAGTGATTCAGGGAGGCAGACAGGGGATTGTTCTATCCCAGGAGAGACCCAAGGCCAGACTCTCTTATAAGATCTGCTATTCAAACTCAACTGACATATCTCCATTTCCTTCCACCCCTCAATTCTTGGTGGATGTGTTTGTTGATACCAGTGACAGGTATAGATGTTCTCAAAACTGCCTTCACCATTTCTAACGTATCTTCATCTTTCAATCTTCTGTATATACACATACATATACATGTACATATATATTTTGTTTATTTACTTCCTCTCCACCTGCTGGGCTGCAAGCTCTGCCTAAAACAGGGCCTGGCACACAGTAGACACTCAACAAATATCTGCTAAAAGAAAGGAAATGCCCGTTTCTCCCAGTTCTTCTCTGACTTCAATGACATTCCCTCCTTTTGCCAACACCTCCCCAACTTGGGAAGGAGGAAGAGAGGTGGGACAGAGAGAATTTCACATCTAGGCCTTTACAACATGGACCACAGGGACACAAAACACAACTGTATTACATACTTTGAATTCTGTGTGACCTGAGAAAATGCTCTGCTGAGAACAGTTCAGGGGGAAGACAAAGGGTGGCAGACCTGGTCACTGACAAGAAGGAAGGTGTGAAGGGCCTTCCAGAGGGTCTCTGGAGGAGCTAGTGGGGCCAAAAGGACTGTATCTGCTCAGGAGGGAGACCCTTCCAGGACTGAAGTGGGAGTGGGGCCACTAAGGGACAAAAGGGAGAAAATGATGGGCATGTTCGCCTTTGCAAATTTGCTCCAGTTCTGGATAAAGGGTGAATCACGTCTGCTAAGATGCATAGGAAATGAAAGAAAGGTCAGGGCAAAAACATGCATCAGCACAAGGACAAAGAGGAGCCTGGGTTGAGCATCATGTTGGGCATTCCTGCTTCCTGAGAAGCTGCAATTTTCATGGAATGCTGTGCTGTGATAGGAGGTGATAGAAGGTGGATGGAGGAATGTTGTCCTGCCTTGCCAGGGGTCATTATTCCAATCTTGGAGGTAAGGGAGACTGAAGTTAGAGATGATTGGGTCAGAAAAAGGGCAACTGTGCTGGTGTGTAAGCTCTGGAGAGCAAGGGTCCGGTCTTCCTCACATGACTTCCCCACTGAGCTAGCACAGTACCTGGCAGAGACATTCTTGATAATCAAAGACCATGTCTGACACATGAGAATGAAAGGCAAGTTGTCCATAGATAAATCTTTTTTTTTTTTTTTTTTGGTAGAGATGAAGTCTCCCCATGTTGCCCAGGCTGGTCTCGAATTCTTGGGCTCAAGTAGTCCTCCTGCCTCAGCCTCCCAAAGTGCTGGGATTACAGGCATGAGCCTCCATGCCTGGCCTAGATAAATCTTAACATAGCAGCCTGTGGTTTCTCTCTTTCCAGCTCTGCTGAGGCCTATTAAGGAAGAAGGGATCCTCCTAGAATCCCAGGCTTTAGGAAGTGTAGCTGGCCAAGGGTCAGTGAGGCAAAACAGTGAGGAGTCCAGACCAATACAGTTCTAATTGGATCCAAGCAGCCAGACAATATCAATTAAAATGCACTTAGTCATGAGACTTACCCCCCTTCTAAGGGGCAGAAATGCTGAACGCTGTAGGGCACGGACAGACTTCTATTTATCTTTGTATCCTCAGTGTCTGGCTTGCTGCCTGGCACATGGTAGGCACTCAATAAATGGCTGGTGAATGAACTACCCAATTAAGGGAAAACATGAAAGAAACGGGAGGCATCCAATGAGAAGAAAGGCACTGGGCAGAGGTTTTAGATTCCCATCCCAGACTTTGCCTTTCACATAGACCTTGGCTTGTTTATCTACCCACACACCCACATACACACCTATTCCCTCTTTTCAAGTGATTCTGGAAAGTACACCACCCATCTTTCAAGGTGTCAGTTTCTTTGCCTTCTCTCTAAACTCTGCAGTTTCTCTCAGCTTTGAAACCATATGATAAACCTGTTTGTAGGAAGCACAAAATAGTGCCTTGAGTAGACTTCCTCCCTGCTCTGTGTTTCTTCGGTAATTGGTGTGTGTCCCAATTTCTCCATTTTTCGTCTTGTGTATACTATACTGTCCGTGTTAGTTCCCTTCAGTGTGATTTCTTATTTGTCCCCATATCGCCACCTGACTCAGGTTCTGCAGAAGGCACTCAAGTTCTGCAGAAGTTTACTGACTGTCCTGAAGGAGACTCGGGTCTGTTTAGTATCCCCAAGTCTCGGGAAAGAAAAAGAAAAAAGTACCGCCCTGGCCACTACATCCCACGAGAAACAAGACCTTAATAACTGTGTAAAAAGAAACTGCTGCCCAAAGAATGAAATCAGTGGGTGGAGGGGTGGTCCTTCTTGGTTCTAGGAGCTCAGATGCAGATGCCAAACAGATGGGATTGGTCCGACACAGGAATGGAAAAGAAGATAGAGAGGCTGCCTGCTAAGAGTCACGACCTTCGACTCCGACGGAGCACAGGGCACCAAGGGGTAAACAGAGAGCATCTCCCTCCCAATGTGCGCCTCTATTTCCCGACATGCGGCATCATAGCTAAGGGAGACTGGCCTCTCAGACTCTCCTAGGCGGGTGGCGTAGCTCACAGCGGGCACTGGGACACCCAGTGATTCGGCCGTGTCAGGCCCCATGGCAGAAGGAAAGGAATTCCGAGCCCGACGACTTCAATCTATCCCCACGGCGCCCCAGCTCTGTGACTCACCCGAACTCCACCTCCACTGACAAGGGCGCTGCCATGTTGAGGAAGCCGAGCTCGCAGGAAACTCCTCACAACTTCCGGCGCGCCCGCAAATTTCCGGGCGTCTCCGGGCGCCGCGGACGGAAGAGGCGGTGCCCAGGGACACAGCTTCGTCAGCTGTTGGAGGAAGTCACCGAGGGGAGGGCAGGGAAAGGAGTGGCGGACTCGGGGAAGGGGTGGCGGGGGGAAGGTCCTCGGCGCTGTTGGGGCTGTGAATCGATGTTCCTCCGCCTTTCACCGACTGGGCTCAGAGACCCAGGGTAGGAAGCGCCTTGTACGGGACAACAAGCAGGCGGAGGAGAGCCCCCAGCATCTTTGCGACGTGACTGTGAGCCACGTAACTGCTTATCTTGCATGAGTTAGAATCTCTTCAGTCTACACACCGCTTGGGCGAGCCCATCCACTCGTCTGGTTTGAATTATAAGTGACTCCCAGATCTTTATTTCCGACCCAGAATCTCTCCTGAGCGGACGACTCGCTATCCAGCCGCTTCCTTTGCTGTCGATTTGGATATCACTCGTTCAACAGCTGTTCATTGCCTCCCTGTGCCAGGCATTTTGATGGGTGCTAGTGGTAAAGGGGATGGGCAAGGTTCCTTCAGGGCAACCTTTAGGGCACTCACAGTCTAGCGGGGAGACTAACTGTAACCAAATAAGCATGCTAATACTAAGACATGTACAACCTCAAAAAAGGAACTGAAGTTATAGGAACTTCAAAAGGAAAACTGAGTAGACTGGACTTGCTGAGCTCTAAAGCCTGAGTAAACCAGGTGGCTGTGAGGGAAGAGAAACCTCTAGGAGCATTCTAGTGAGGAGGACGAAAGGCCCAGAGGCTCTGAGTGAGAACATGCTGGAACGGAGAGGGAAGTGGAAGTTAGGGAGCCTTTCATCCATCTAGAGATGGAACTGCAAAAAGGTGGGCAGGGGCCAACCCCTGCCTTGTAAGCAGGTAAACATTTCAGTCTCTAGGAGCAGTGGGAGACTACTGAAAGGTTTTGGGAGACAGTGGCATTTTAGAATTGTGTTTTAAAATATCATTTCTGGCTGCAATGTGGAGGATGATTTGAGGGGAATAAGGAAAGAGACAAAAGCCCAGTTGCAAAAGCCCAGGGCAGGCCGGGTGCGGTAGCTCAGGCCTGTAATCCCAGCACTTTGGGAGGCTGAGACGGGCGGATCACGAGGTCAAGAGATCAAGACCATCCTGGCCAACATGGTGAAACCCTGTCTTTACTAAAAAAATTCAAAAATTAGCTGGATGTGGTGGCACGTGCCTGTAGTCCCAGCTACTTGGGAAGCTGAGGCAGAAGAATTGCTTGAACCCGGGAGGTGGAGGTTGCGATGAGCCGACATCGAGCCACTGCACTCCAGCCTGGTGACAGAGTGAGACTGTCTCAGAAAAAAAAAAAAAGCCCAGGGCAGAAATGGAATGAAGTTGGCCAGGCGCGGTGGCTCATGCCTGTAATGCTAGCACTTTGAGAGGCTGAGACGGGCGGATCAGGAGGTCAGGAGTTCCAGACCAGCCTAGCCAACATGGTGAAACTCTGTCTCTACTAAAAATACAAACATTAGCCAGGCATGGTGGCAGTCTCCTGTAATCCCAGCTACTCCGAAGGCGGAGGCAGGAGAATCCCTCAAACCCAGGAAGCAGCAGAGGTTGCAGTGAGCCGAGATCATGCCACTGCACTCCAGCCTGGGCGACAGAGAGAGACTCTTAAAAAAAAAAAAGAAATGGGCCGGGCGCGGTGGCTCAAGCCTGTAATCCCAGCACTTTGGGAGGCCGAGACGGGCGGATCACGAGGTCAGGAGATCGAGACCATCCTGGCTAACACGGTGAAACCCCGTCTCTACTAAAAAGTACAAAAAAAAACTAGCCGGGCGAGGTGGTGGGCGCCTGTAGTCCCAGCTACTCGGGAGGCTGAGCCAGCACTTTGGGAGGCCGAGACGGGCGGATCACGAGGTCAGGAGATCGAGACCATCCTGGCTAACACGGGAAAACCCCGTCTCTACTAAAAAGTACAAAAAACTAGCCGGGCGAGGTGGTGGGCGCCTGTAGTCCCAGCTACTCGGGAGGCTGAGGCAGGAGAATGGCGTAAACCTGGGAGAAGTGAGCTGCAGTGAGCTGAGATCCGGCCACTGCACTCCAGCCTGGGCGATAGAGCGAGACTCCGTCTCAGAAAAAAAAAAAAAAAAAAAAAAAAAAAAAAGAAATGGAATGAAGTAGATGTCCTGTGGGTATCTAAACACCAACACTTCCAAAACTGAACTCAGCATTGGTAGAGGGTGATGGTGTAGCCTAGTGGTTAAGGGCAGAATGATGTAATAGTTAAGATCTAGGAATTCAGGTGGGATGGGTGTGGTGACTCACACCTGTAATCCCAATGCTTTGGGAGGCCAAGGCAAGAGGACTGCTTCAGGCTAGGAGTTTGAGACCAGCCTGGGCAACACAGCAAGACCCTATGTCTATAAATGTTTCTTAAAAAATAAGCCAGGCGGCCGGGCACGGTGGCTCAAGCCTGTAATCCCAGCACTTTGGGAGGCGGAGACGGGTGGATCACGAGGTCAGGAGATCGAGACCATCCTGGCTAACACGGTGAAACCCCGTCTCTACTAAATATTACAAAAAACTAGCCGGGCGAGGTGGCGGGCGCCTGTAGTCCAAGCTACTCGGGAGGCTGAGGCAGGAGAATGGCGTGAACCCGGGAGGCGGAGCTTGCAGTGAGCCGAGATCTGGCCACTGCACTCCAGCCTGGGCGACAGAGTAAGACTCCGTCTCAAAAAAAAAAAAAAAAAAAAAAAAATAGGCCAGGCATGGTGGAGTGTGCCTGTCCCAGCTACTCAGGAGGCTAAGAGGGGAGGATCACCTGAGCCTGAAGGTCAAGGCTGCAGTGAACCATGATCATGCTATTGCACTCGGCCTGGGTGACAGAGTGAGACTCTGGAGTGCAATGGCATGATCACAGCTTACTGTAATCTTGAACTCCTGGACTCAAGGGATCCTCCTGCCTCAGACTCTGGCGTAGCTGAGACCACAGGCACTAATAAAGTCCTTCCTTCCTTAGCCTGGCCTGGCCAAATAATTTTCAATTAAAAAAAAATTTTTTTGTAAAGATCTAGGAGTGCAACTACCAGCTTTATATCCACGTCCTGGCCAGGCACAGTGGCTCACACCTGTAATCCCAGCACTTTGGGAGGCCAAGGTGGATGGATTGCTTGAGGCCAGGAGTTCAAAACCAGCCAGGGCAGCATGATGAAACCCCATCTCCACCAGAAATATAAAAATTAGCCAGGCATGGTAGTGCACACCTGTAGTCCCAGCTACTCAGGAGGCTGAGGCACAAGAATTGCTTGAACCTGGGAGGCGGAGGTTGCAGTGAGCTGATTACACCTCTGCACTCCAGCTCTGGGTGACAGAGTGAGACTGTCTCAAATAAAAATTAAAATTAAAAATTAATATATCTAGGTCCTACTACTTTCTAGCTGTGTCTTTGGGCAAGTCCCTTAACAGCTTTGCGCCTCAGTTTCCACATCTTTAAAATGGGAATAATAACATCCCAACCCCATAGGGTTGTAGTGAGGACTGAATAAGTTCTTGGCACAGTGCCTCTTTCCTAAAACAGGTTCTCTCAGCCGGGCACAGTGGCTCACGCTGGTAATCCCAGCACTTTGGGAGGCCGAGGCAGGTGGATCACCTGAGGTCAGGAGTTCAAGACCAACCTGGTCAATATGGTGAAACCCATCTCTACTAAAAATACAAAAATTAGTCGGACGTGGTGGTGCACACCTGTAATCCCAGCTACTTGGGAGGCTGAAGCAGAACTGCTTCAACCTGGGAGGCTGGAGTGCAGTGGCGCAACAAGAGAGCTAGACTCCGTCTCAAAACAAACAAAACAAAACAGGTTCTCTCTGTGTTCCCCATCTCAGGAATACCACTACCACCCACCAAAACACCCAAGTAAACACCCAAATTATCCTAATTTTCCCTCTCTCACATCAAAACAGTCACCAAATTTGGATGAGTCTCCCTTTTTTTTGAGACGGAGTCTCACTCTGTCGCCCAGGCTGGAGTGCAGTGGTGCGATCTCAGCTCACTGCAAGCTTTGCCTCCCGGGTTCACACCATTCTCTTGCCTCAGTCTCCTGAATAGCTGGGACTACAGGCGCCCGCCACCACACCCAGCTAATTTTTTGTATTTTTAGTAGAGATGGGGTGTCACTGTGTTAGCCAGGATGGTCTCGATCTTCTGACCTCCTGATCTGCCCACCTCAGCCTCCCAAAGTGCTGGGATTACAGGCATGATCCACTGTGCCTGGCTGAGTCTCTCTTCTAATCTGGCATGCCTCCCCAACCCCCCAGCTCATCACCTCACCTGCCCCTGCTTCCTCTCTGGCCTGCCTGCCTCCCACCTCCTCTGGCCTTGGTTGCATTGTACACATCAACTCCATGGACAGCTTTGAGCCCCTTCAATGTGCTATGCCCTGTTCCTATAAAACAAGGACAAATGAGACACTGCCCTGGTCCTCGGAAAGCAGAGGAGTCCTGTGGTACACAGAAGGGCTTCACCCTCACCATGCCATGTGACCCACCCCTCTGTGGAACTCAGTTTCCCTATTCTGTGAAGAGGTTTGGAACCAAATGATCTCCTAAGGTCTTCTCTGCAAACATATTCTAAGATTCTGCTACTGGAATCTAAGCTCCTTCTGGGCAGAGACTTTTCCTGATTCATCTTTGATTATAGCAGGTAGTGCAGAATTCTGTACTCTATAGGAGTTTGCCAAGAGCTTGCTGAATGAGTAAATGAATGAGTGATATCAGTCACTTAATGGCTTCCCTTTGCCAACAAGCTAAGGACCTACCTAGAGGGCATACTGAGCTCTTTACAGCCTCTGATTCCAACCCACCTCAGTGTCCTCTGACCTGGAAGCTGCCTCCCAGAGCTGGAATGGAGCACTTGGGAGCATTTGAAGAGCTTCATCCACCGGACAAACCTTCACTGAGAACCTATTACACACCAGGGCCAGTGTTGCTGCTGGGAACAATGATGAACAAAACCTGTTGGTAGGCCAGGTGTGGTGGCTTA